GATGCGGATGAGCCAGTCCGTCATTCGTTCACCTCGACGTCGGTGATGTTGTAGATTCGAACAACTTCTCGAGGGTCTCGCCTTTCTGCGCGGGCTTCTGCTGACCCAGGTTTGCCTCAAATGCTGTAAAACGTCCTCGATGCCGACCTGATTCCTTTGGCGCTTCTTTTCGTCGGCGTCCTCGATGTGCGCTGCAGCTGCCGGGTGCAGCTGCTCCTCCGTCATGTTCAACGCTGCTGTTCTAGCTGTCCCGCTGAGCCGAAGCACGCGGTTCGATGCGAGACTCTGTGTGACTGAGAGGTTCTTGCTGAGCTTCCATAACTTCACCTCCTGCTTGTGGTCTTTCCATTTTGAGGGATCTCCGTTGCATGTCGGTATGACTGACTGCCCGACATTATGGGACATGCCCGTCATCTTTGCGAAAAGGGAGCCGGAGTGAAAGAAATCGAACTCGGCGGCATCGCTGTCGTTCTGGGAGTAGGGAAATCGAGCTCGGCGGCATCGCTGATGTTCTGGGAGTAAAGGAAATCGAACTTGGCGGCTTGGCTGAAGTTCTGGAGGTATCTGAAATTGACTCGGCGGCTTCGCTGAAGTTCTGGGAGTACCGTGACGTTGAACTCGGTGGCTTCGCTGAAGTTCTGGGAGTATGTGACATGGAACTCGGCGGTATCGCTGAAGTTCTGGGAGGATGTGAAATCGTATGTACTGGTGTCGCTGACGCTGGCGTGAGAGTTGGCGTAGTAGGCGCTGTTGCTCTTGCTAGAGTCGCTGACGCTGGCGTGGGAGTTGGCGTTGAAGGCGTAGTAGGCGTTGCTGCTAGCGTCGCTGACGCTGTCGTGGGAGTTGGCAGGGTAGGCGTAATAGGCATTGCTGTCGGTGCTAGCGTCGCGGACGCTGGCGTATGCGCTGCGCAGCAGCTGGGTGATGATCACTAGGAAGACGCTGGTCTTCGATTCCAATGGACGTGTCGCAGACGCCGTCGTTGCTATATGGACGGCCCAAAGGCCGGGGCAGCGATCACAGCTCCAAGGTACCACTGTGATATGGATCGGCGCGCAGCGCCGGGGATGATTTCGCTGTGAGCGCGGCTCGAACAACTGGCGTAGCTCTAAGGCCAAGGGCCCTAACATGTTTGGTAACCAGTACGGCAGCGGGAAGTGATATGGGAGCAAGCAAAGGGAGAGCGGGGAACGGGTGAGAAGGGCAGCGAGCCTTCTGGAATCACGATATGGAGCTCTGCCGAAGCCCCAAGTGGGACCGCCCGCATGCGTCCGACACACCCAACTTGGCGTTTTCACCCACCCAGTACAGAGTTTTGTGGCCGCCCTATAGGGAGCTCCACCGAAGCCCCCATTGGGTCCGCCCGCATGCGTCCCACACGCCCATTTTTTCCACCCACCCAGTACGGCGTTTCGTGTTTCCACAAGGAACTCCACCGACGGCCCCAGTGCTACCGCCCGCGTGCGTTCCCCCCCCACCCATTGCAGCGCCTCGTGGCCCCATAGGGAGCCTCACCGAAGACGATATTCACAATTGCAGTACCCACAACTGTATATGGATGGGTCCGTTGCCAGGATAATTTAGAAACCCCGAGGAGTCCGCAAGGACTTTTGAAGGACTCCGTCGGGAATTCCTGTGGAATCCAAAGCTTTGGATTCCTTCAGAAATCCTTGGAAGGCGTCGAGGAATCCAGAGCAAACCATGCGGCATCCTTGAGGAATTCTTGCGGGATTGTCGCGGAATCTTCTTGAGGATTCTTTAGAGAACCGATGAGGACCCCGAGGGATCTTAGAGGTATCCTTCTGGAATATTTTGGAGTATTCCGGAGGATTTCTTGACCACTCTTGAGGAATCTTTGGGGAGTCCAGAGGACCCGAGAAAGCGAAGGTTTCCTGATGAGTAAGAACAGCATGTGCCATTGCGCTCCCTGATCGTGCCACAGTGCCGTATCGTATGCCACATGTTTACTGGAGTGGTAGATATAAGCAATGTCAGTATTTGTCTGTCCGTTTGGAGTGGCAATGTTTTGGGGTGCAGTTGCACTTTTTAGTGCATGTGTGCGTGTGTGCGTGTGTGTGTGTGTGTGTTTGTGTGTGAGTGTGTGTGTGTGTGTGTGTGTTTGTGTGTGTATTTGTGTGTATGGCATTGCTGCGTCCTGGCTCGATCTTGACACCCGCTGGCTGGATTGTGCAGCACGTCCGAGGAAAGTGTTGTTTTGTTTACTCCCCCTTTTTTACCTAACAGCGAAGACTGATAGGTTTCTAGTGGGGTCAAAAGAGAGCATCTTGACGCCCCAGGGGTTCTGGGCGGGATCCGGGCAAAACCGGACAAAACCGGCAGCCCCAGGAATCTTTAGGAATCCTTAGGAATTCTTAGGAATCCTTAGGAATCCATTCCCAGAGCACCACTCCCAGGCCACATTTTGAATGCCCGGAGCCAATTGTAGGCCACTTCGTGTTCTTCGTGTTCCCAGAGCACCATTCCCAGGCCACATTATGATTGCCCGGAGCCAACTGTAGGCCATTTCGTGTTCATCGTGTTCCCAGAACACCATTCCCAGGCCACATCTTGAATGCCCAGAGCCAACTGTAGGCCACTTTGTGTTCTTCGTGTTCCCAGAACACCATTCCCAGGCCACATTTTGAACGCCCGGAGCCAACTGTAGGTCACTTCGTGCTCTTCGTGTTCCCAGAACACAATTCCCAGGCCACATTTTGAATGCCCGGAGCCAACTGTAGGCCACTTTGTGTTCTCCGTGTTCCCACAACACTACTCCTGCATCATATTTTGACTGCCCGGAGCCAACTGTGAGGCTGAGGCTGAGGCAGGTTGAGGCTGAGGCAGGCTGAGACTGAACCTGAGGCAGGCTGAGGCTGACGCTGAGGCTGATGCAGGCTGAGGCTGAGAGGCTGACGCTGAGGCTGAGGCAGGCTGATGCTGAGGCCGAGGCAGGCTGAGGCTGAGGCTGAGGCAAGCCGAGGCAGGCTGAGGCTGAGGCTGAAGCTGAGGCAGGCTGGGGCTGAGGCTGTGGCTGAGGCTGAGGCAAGCTGCGGCTGAGGCAGGCTGAGAGGCTGAGGCTGAGGCTGAGGCAGGCTGAGGCTGAGGCTGATGCAGGCTGAGGCTGAGGCTGAGGCCGAGGCAGGCTGAGGCTGAGGCTGAGGCAAGCCGAGGCAGGCTGAGGCTGAGGCTGAGGCAGGCTGAGGCTGTGGCTGAGGCTGAGTCAAGCTGCGGCTGTGGCTGAGGCTGTGGCTGAGGCTGAGGCTGAGGCTGAGGCTGAGGCAGGCTGAGGCTGAGGCAGGCTGAGGCTGAGGCTGAGGCCGAGGCAGGCTGAGGCTGAAGCTGAGGCAAGCCGAGGCAGGCTGAGGCTGCGACTGCGAGAACAGCAGAATTCTACAACTGGATTCTCACCTGAATCTTAAGGGGAATGCTTCCAGATATGCTTATACACATCGCTGTTAGGTTGCTTTGCCGGGATAATTCGTCTATATCTCTGTATATTTGTATGTATATATGTGTATATATATACACATATATATACATATATATATATATATATATATATATATATATGTATAAGCAGGTGCATTCACATGTCTGTGTGTGCAGCCAAGTAGTTTCATGTGGGCGGAGCAGGACGGAAAGAAAGAGGAGAAGGAGGCCAGGGGATGAGGAAGGAAGGAGGGAAGGAGACGAGGTGTGTTCATCCTTTCTTTTCTCTTTGGGGTTTTTCGTTCGTCGTAAGTTTCATGCGCTCGCAGGTATTTGTCGGGCGGTGGGCTACGCAACTGGAGTCGGGTGGCTTGGGATGTGTGAGTATGGTGTTGTGCGGCGTGGGTGGTCGTTCTGGAATATGCAGTTTTGCGCAGCATCGCTGCGCAGCCCAAGCCTTGTGGTATTTATTCTTTTTTCGGCGGGTTGAGCACACGAGCGCTGTGGCGTCGCGCCCTGCGGAAGAAGGTGATGTGAATAATGGTGCACATGATGAGAGACAGAGTTGGGCGGGGCGGGGAGGATGATGACGGGGAGGGACTGGCGTTGATGGTGGGGTGCCCCCTCGTGGAAACTGAATCGAGAGGGCTTTTAGCAGTGGGGCGTGGGCGGCCTGTGCATTTCCAGGCTGCCGACGACTCGATCTTCTCGAGCCTCCGGTCTCTGGAGCTATCAACCTCTTACAGTCGGGCCGATGAAGAAGGAACCCTTTTCGTTGGGGAGGGGCTCAGTTTTCTAAATTGTTTTACAGTTATCCGTCGTTTATTAGGTTTTCTATTCAAAATCAAAGCTTACGTAACTTCTGGGAAAAAGGGCCCTCGTTCTTTATTCAGGGTTCTTTAGGACAGCGTCTCGACTGTACCCAGGATCGGGCGTTTCGTCCCGAGCCGCTTCTCGATGCCCCAGGAGCCTGTGTATGGCTTCCCGTTGGCGGCTCCCCAGTTCCCCCCCAGCGGATCCGCGCGAGGGGGGTGGCCTTCTCAGAAGGTGGAGGCTTCTAAGAAGGCGGGGGCTTTCTTGTAAGGCCCGCAGGCTTTTAATAATCAAGCAGTGGCGAGGCGTCCTGGCTTGCCTATCGGCTCACCAACGAATGTTCTAAGAACCTTCAATGGATTTCACAACATGTTCTTGGAACATTTCTGGCTGGGGCTGGCTTGTTTGAACACATCGGCCCCATGCTATAAGAACATTGCTTAGGCTCTTTGAACATTTTCGGGTTCAAAGAAGATTCCGTTGTAGGTCCATAGGAATGCCGGGACGGTCGGTCTCTGCTCTAAAGAAAATTTCGAAGGCCGGATGGTTCTGAGAAGCTCTCTGCCTTCTTGGACACTCCCCCAGGCTTCTGAGAAGGCCGCTTCCCCTCGTGCCACCTTCTCGTGCGCGCCGCCACCCCAAATCCCGAAAATGACCAAACACATCTGGTGCGATTGCTCTCGAGTCGCCAGAGCTCTGGGGTTGTGGACGCGCGCGTGCCGAACGTGCGTGGCCTGGACCCGGCGTGCGCTGCCGAGATGGAGTCCGAAGCGCTCGGCGTGCCCGCCGAGAGTACGCTCTTGTATAAGGCGCAGGGCCTCAGCCTTCGGGGGAGTGGGGAGGAGAAGTTGGGTTTAGTGTTTGTGAGCGTGCGTGTGAGTGTGTGCTGGCGGCCATACCGCGTCGAATGCACCGGACGGCTTCATTTCCCGTGAGGGCCCATTGCTTCTTCTTTTTACTTACTAGCGAAGACTGATAGGCTTCCAGTGGGCTCAAAAGAAGGCATCTTGACTCCCCAGAGGGGTCAGGGCGGATGCCGGGGAGAATCCGGGGACTCCCTGGGACTCCCCAGGGGGATTTGGGCGGGTGCCGGGGAGGATCCGGGGATTCCCCAGAACACCATTCCCAGGCCACATTTTGAATGCCCGGAGCCAACTGCATGCCATCTCGTGTTCTTCGTGTTCCCAGAACTTTGAAAGTTGTATTAGCAAGGATGTGAGATATAGGATGACGTTTAGAATTATATATGTTGCTGCTCTCACTCGCTCATGCTTGCACTCTCTTGTTCACTATTGCCATTTGTGACTTGGACCCGCCAGCTGTGGCGGGAGGGTGGGCGCATTCTACGACCGTCTAGCTTGACATCGGAATAAGATCAGATCAACACTCTATCTATTTCTTCTTGCATCAAGAGGTTGTGGGTGGAGAGATTTGGATCAATATTGACACTGGTAGCGTGAGGTGAATCAGTCCACGGTACGAGGATTTCATACTGAGTGGCCGTGCAGACATATATGCTGGCGCTCACCTACACCCTCGCGGTCCTTAACCACTGCGCTCAACAGATCACAGTGATCGACAAAACGCTCAAAATCATTACCTACAACAGCTTGGACGAGGATCGTTGCATCAACAGCATCCCGGGCGAGCAGCATAACTACAGCAGCAACGATCAAGACAGCTACTACATCAGTGACAAGCTCAGTAGCATCACGGTCATCTAGATGACGTCCAGGCAGCAGCAGCAGTTCAATGACGGCCCCCTCTTCGTTGACAAGGAGGGCGTGGTACACTGCAACGGAGACCCATCCGACGTTGACAAGGAGCGTGCAATACTCGGCTACCACGCGAGCGAGGAGAAGATCAATAAGCTCTACGCGATTAAGCTCAATAGTTCTCTAAATGGACGAGCGCGGACACTCACACAAAAGAAGGTTGAGATCAGTACGCAAGCAGTTTCGGACGAAGCAGGTAATGACCCACTTGCTGCAGTCAAACTGGTGGTAACTACAGCACGACAGGCGTGCGAGAGAATCGCACCACTACAGAAGCAGCAAGCGTTCGAGGAGCATTTCTTCCGAGGTTTTCGCAATCGGACGGAGTCTGTGCAGGACTACATATCGAGGCGAGAGACGGAGTACGAGCGGCTCAAGTCACTTTCAACGAACACGACAGTCAGCGCAGACCTACGGACATACTTTCTACTGAAGCTAGCGAACATCAGCATGCAAGAGCACAAGGCAATCCTTGGCCAGTGCAACAACGAATGCACCTGGGACGACGTGACGGCAGCCATGCTGATACAGCTGGACAGTACAGGCCGAGACGATCGTGGACATGGACGATGCGGAGCCTACCCGGTGGACTACGACGACGAAGAAGAAGATGCTCTACTCGGAGACGAAGGTGCACCGTGCGACGAGGACGTGTTCCTGAGTGATGCGGGCTACGACGCACTTGCAGCGGACATCGACGAGTTCGAGGGAGTGATTGACGACGTAGACCCGGAAGAGATCAGCCAGGAGGAGTGCGACACCCTGGCGACGGAGGCTCAACGTCTTGGCTGGAAAGCTGGACGGCGCAACCACAAGCCCAACTACAAGCAGGCCCGGGAGCGGCTTGCTCAGAGCAAGTCGAATAGAGGCTGGAAAGCCAACATCAACAAGCAGGGCTCCATCAAGATGGACAGCAAAGAGGCTGATGATAAGCTGAAGCAGATCAAGGCGCGCACGAAGTGCAAAGCGTGCCACAAGAAGAGTCACTGGAAGGGTGACCTCGAGTGCGAAAAGACGAGGTCACCAGCGAGTGGGGTTTTCAACGACGAGCTGGATTCGCAATGGCGACCAAGGTCAAGCTGCTGATGGCGGACGGCTCGATGGACATGACCGCCATTCAGATTGTCAGCGACCAGCTGGCAAGCGTAGACGTGGCGATGGAGGAGATCACTAGTCTGACGAAGGTGAGAATCGACACCGAGGAGCAGATCGTGAACACCTACGCGGTATCAGCAGCAGGGGACCAGCCGAACTTCCAAGCGAGGATCGACCAGGCACACGAACTATACCCAGTACCTGGAGAGCATCAAGCACAAGAATCTGACGAACCCTTGATCACTCCAGTGAGCTCAACGAGCAGACCGACACCGGGGGCGTGGTCGAGGACGGAGCCCAGCAGACCAAGTGCAGACTACCTGGAAGAAGACAACACAGAGGCCGACCTACAGAAGATACGAGATCGTGCGGAGCAGATCGCAGCGTTATGGGCAAGCTGCGAGAACATGGAAGCAGCCTACAGGGACTATATGGATTTCTGTTTGGACTGGGCCCTACATCGCTTCCAGCAGCTCATGCACATCACCATGGACATGGCACCGAACGGTTTCAGGAATGTGGCCTACGATCTATGCCAAGCAGCCTGGGGCAGGACCTCGGAGCTTCGTGACATCGCGAGGAGTACTTGCGAGCGCCTACCGATTGGAGCACGGCCGACACGGTTGTGGACGCAACGTCGAGCTGGAACCAACTACGTTCCAGAGGGCGACCGCGCACCAACAACAGGGCGGCAGCAACCTTGCGAGGAGCTGAAAGAAATCGAAGCCTACGCAGTACGAAAAGAACCTATTCCAGATGGACATGCTGTACTGGACACTGCGTGCCCACGTGGATGTGGAGGTTCAATATCACTGGGCGGCTACGCAGACGACGACAGAGTCACCACGCGGATGAGAGGATCACCCATGCGCTTCCGAGGCGTGAATGATAGCGCCCCGGTCACGGCAGAAGGAGAACAAGAGGTGACGGCTGGACTTGCTGGAGCTGACGTGAACCTACGCTTCCAGAGGTTGCCGAAGTCAAAGACGCCAATACTGCTGAGCACCCACCAGCTGGAGGAGCTCGACACAGTGATATACATCAAGGATCAGAAGGCGGACTTCACGGCGATCAACAAGTACGGAGTGCCTCTCAAAAAGACGGAGAAGGGACACCTGACGATCTCGCTCAAGGAGTGGCCGAAGAAGGAGACGACAAAGATCGAGCCATCAGTCGCGTCCGACGAGATCGACATCTGGAATGCAGAGGTCCAGGAGATCGATAAGGGCATCCTGCGGCGGAAGCAGAGGAAACATATCGAGACGTGTGAGAAGGAGATTCAGGACAAGCTGGACCAGTGCCAGCAGATCGTGGACACGCTGAAGGCGGACCCGGAGGAGCAGCGGCCCATCATCTGCGAGCTCTACGCAGGTGGCATGGCAGCCACATCAGAAGCTCAGCAGCGGCTGCATCCAGTGACGAGGCCGAGGGGCATCCTGATCGGGGACGACCTGCTGGACGCGAAGTCGCAGAAGACCGTCCTGAAGCAGCTGAACGAGGATGACCCCTACATGACCATTGCGGGTTTCCCCTGCGACCCGTTCACGAACGTATCCCACATGTTCCCGAAGGACACGAAGATGCGTAAGCTGGCGATCGGCATGAAGCACCTGCAATTCGTCAAGCAGATCTGGATCAACTGCAAGCGCCGAGGAGCTCAGATGCTATTGGGCAACCCATTGACGTCAAGAGCCTGGCAGCTTATGCCATGGCTGGGCTCAGAATTCGTGAGCGCGATGATGCACCAGTGCGCCGAGGGCAGCAACCTGGTGGACTTCATGGGCGATCCAGTCAAGAAGCCGACAAGGTTCCTGACGACGGCCATCATGCTCGGCAAGAAGCTCAACAGCATCAGGTGTGACGAGCAGCACGTACACACGAGCGTGATTAACATGCCGAAGGGAACAGCATCGAGCCTTGGGAACTGGACCAAGGAGCTAGCCAAGACGATCTTGGACGGCATCGAGGATCAGCGGGGCCTCGAGAAGCAGCATGGTGGCTACGCCCGGTACGCAACAACTTCGACGACATCGACTATGACGAGTTCGAGGCCAACCCTGCGGAGACGGAGGCGCCGATGCACGCTAGCGCGGCGGCGATCTTCAGCAAGCGTGGCGAGAACGTCGAGATGGCGGAATGGACGGCGGTGCCACCACTCATGCGAGCAGCTATCAAGAATATACACTAGAGCCATTCACATGGACCCTACAAGGAGTCACTGGTACGGTATCTACAGCATGGTGGAGCTAGCCGACGAGCGGCACAAGCAGCACGTCTCTTCAGATGCACGACATGTGAAGAGCAGGCTCGGACGGCAGCGAGAATTACGGCAGCTCAGCCTAAGGTTAAGGACTTTAACGAAGCCATCAGCACGGACTTCATGATCATACCCGACCTGGACAAGAACATGCACGTGGTGTTTGTTATCGTGGACGTGGCCTCGGACTTCACCGTGGCGATCTACACGTGTCCCGGATCGAGACCTACGGTAGAGTTAGCAAAGAAGGCTTTCGAACTCGGATGGCTTACCTGGGCCGGGCCACCACGCGTCGTGGAGCAGGACCAGGACTCCACCTTTATGGGCGAGTTCGAGACGCGGCGCAACGACCTGGGCATTGTGATCAACCGCGCGGCTCCAGAGGCTCACTGGCACATGGGCAAAGTCGAGAGGAAGATGCGATCCCTGAAGGAAATGGCGACGAGTGTCTTTAACGCTGGGGAAGTTCGTGGTCAAGATTCGGTTGCAGCTGCAGTGCGCGGTATGGCCAACGCGCGCAATCAACTTGTCAGCGCGGCAGGCTTCTCACCACGGCACTGGGTACTTGGAGCTGGACACCGACTGCCTGCAAGTTTGGCGAATCCCGACAACGACCCAGCAGTGGTTTCACGAGTGGCCGAGAATACGTCATTCTGGAACCGACTACACCTTCAACAGATCT